TGGAAGAAACTCGACAGCTGGATTCAGTGTACTTTAGAAAGTTGCAGGCTTTGCATCAAGAGAGTGTTTCCAAGAAGGATGAGGTAAGAGAAGCACCTACTAGTAAAAACAAACTCATTTTCTATCAAAGAGGGTTAACGCTTTATGTATCAGGAATGAAAAGACTCACTGCAACCGATGTGGGGGACATTCATTCATTCATTTTAAAGGCCGTCATTTTTTTAAAATAATGAGTCCAGTTCTGCTCTCATTTACAGCTATAGCAGATCCAACCCCCACTTAAGTAATCCCTAGGACTTCTACTGAAGTTAGTTGGAAGTGTGTTGGGCCCTAAATCTTGAATAACCACCCCCTTATGCTGCTTCAGGCTTACAGTGGTTTATCTGATGATGGAATTTGGGTCAATATATTTGAAGTAAACAGCAAATAAAGATAATGGTGTTCCTTAAGGTATGGACAAACATTCTTTTGATATGCTACAAATCCCATTTTAGTATGAAACTTCATATTTCAGAGTCATGCTTCAGTATCATGTAGATGTATAGGTCCTTCCCAGCTGAATTGCTTCAAAATGGCTCTAAGTCCATGCTGTAGTAGAGCTGTGCAGCTAGGGGGTTAGAGAGCAGAGATCCCAGCATGACTTTGGGGCCCAAGTCTTAGGAAACTCCTGTGGACTGCTAACTGTAGAGGAGAGGGCCTATTAACTATTTACTCCTCCTCCCTTCTCACCTTGTGCTAGGTGCTCTCTGCCACTTCAGACCTGGTCAGTTTCCCCTTAGGAGTGCTCATCAGTTACAGGAACAGCACTATTAAGCCCCCTGGGGAACCCAGCTGGGATGGTTACCATTGCCAAGACCCTGGAAAGATGCTTCCTTTAGGTGTGCTACCTACTCATCACCACTGACAACTACATGCATGAGGATGAAGCTCCTCAGGATGCCATGGAGTATGGCTACCCTTTGGACCACTTGCAAATAGTATACTAAATCTTCTGGGCCAGAGAGATAGGCAGTGGCTGGTGGAAATATAGAGTCCTAGGGATGCGTGATGAAGAGCAGTAGTGGTAGAACTTTTGCTTGAGACATACCACCCTCGTAAAGATGGTTTCATGGAGAAGCACTGTGCTAGTTCTCTCATCCAAGCAGCAAGCTATGCATGAGGGCACCCTTCACTAGGGAGCAGCTTGTGCCCATCAGTATCTGAAATATGGCTACTCTTGTCAGCCTGTACTGTGCAGCTAACCACTTCAGCATGGGCAGGTTCACAGCAGGATCAGCTGTGGCAGGAGGCATACTATGCCATTCATAGGGTGCTGGCACTGGCATTCCTCTGCCTCATGAAGTCGCAGGAGGTCATCCCCAGATTTGCCCTCCTGGGCTTTCTGACCTGCACAGGATAGGCCATTTATGACCTATCCTGTGCCCAGCCTATTATGGCTCAGTTTATACAAACTACAAGGGCTTCTTTTCTGTGATGCTGCAAAGCATTATGGACCACCAAATTCAGTTTACACACATGACCACTGCCTGGCTGAGCAAGGTCCACAATACCAAAGTCTTTAGAAACTCCAGATGAGTGTTCCTGATGATATGGCGGGGGAAGTTTTTCCGTAAGACTACCAGCATCGAAGTGGAAGGAGTAACTATGCCTTCTGCTACTTGGGTATTCAAGATGCCCACTTTTTCCTGCCTTGTGGGGCATGTGGATGCCAGGAAAGAACTGTTCAACCACAAGCCAAGCAGTTACTACATGACCATTGAGTCCACCTTTGGCTACCTCATGGCCAAGTGGAGGGCAGTGGAAATGTGCTTGGCTAACGTGGCTTGCTAGTACCTCTTCTTACAAACTCATGGCATGGCCCTTCCACTGTCCATAAAGACATTCCTCAGCCAACACTGATCCCCCTCCAGTGGTTTGCTCTGGAGTAGGGGTCCATAACCTACAGCCCATGAAGAGCTATGAACTGGCCCATGAGGGTCCAATTCAGGGGGAAGGAAGTGTTCTGCTTTAAAGGAGCCACTGTAAAACTACCTGTTCTGTGCCCTTACTGCCAAATTTACTGTTCTCTGTTGGCATTCACCATGGCTTCTAGCAGCACCCGGTATGCAGAGTGGGGCATAGAGCAGAGAGGGAGTTGGAGCAACAGGGATCAGAAGCAGGGACAGGATTAGCAGCTGCCAGCAGGAGCTGGTTGCAGGTACCCAGCCCACCAGTCTAAAAGGCTGCTGTCCCCTGGCTTTAAATGATTCAAAACCATATGCCCCCTCCCCCGCCCCTAGCTCCATGCACCCCAAAACCTTATCTCCCTGGGAGTGTATGTTGAGGGTCACCTGTGTCCTTATTCAGGGACAATACAGGACGTCCAGGCAGTCTTACAATGCCAGGAGTCATTTTGCAGGCGTGGGATGGAAAGATAGTGCTGGAATTCTGAAATTTACTGGGTGATTGGATGGCTGTCTGCTCTATCTGTGTCTTCATTCAGTGTTGTCCTGGGTGCTGGGAGGAAGAGGGCTGGCTTCTTGCAGGTGGCTGTTGAGGTCTGCTTATTGATAGTGGTGGGAGAACGGTGAGCAGGAATGGAGAAGGGACAGTTGGTAAGAGAGTGGTGGGAATAGTCAACTCTGCAGGAGAGGTATTGGTGGCATATAATGTTGAAGAGGTAGTCTAGTGTGAGGTTGATGGAGTCGGTGTCAGTGGCATCAGAGCTCTCATGTCCAGATAACTGGTATCCTCTTAATCAGTGCTCTCAAAGAGAAGGAGGGACTTCCCAATGTTCTCCTAACCTTTCTGTGCCTTCTCCTTGGCCATGGTGGGAGCAGGAACCAGTGAGTCCTCCTTTTTTTTTTCTGGTCAGAGGCTTCTGAGTCCTTGGTGGCCTGAGGGCTGACTCCAGAGTTGCCAACAAATGAGAGCTCTGTCAAGTCATCCCCTGCTAGAATCTGTGACAGTTCCTCATAGCAGGTGCAAGCCACTGTCTGAGTGCCCAAGATGTGGTGGTGTCTCAGGCCTTCTTATATTGCACTTTTATCACTTTGACCTTGGCATGGCAATGATGCCAAATGTGACTGTGCCCTTGAGTAGACATTTTAGAGGTGATACTCTCATAGATGGCTTGGTTGTGGTAGCCTGTCCAGAGTGAACATTGAGTGTTTTCAGTATCCCAAATGGAAAGGAGGTCTATTACCTTTGACCATCTCTGGCTTGTAGACTGCCTCATGTACATGGCAGAAGATGGTGGCACTGACGTTCTGGGTGCAGGCTGCTGTTGATGGTCTCCAAAGGGTCCTCAAAATTGTTTAATTACAGGGATTCTGAATCCTTAGGGTGGTAATCCAGCAAAAAGAGGATGCAGTATGCTTTTGCACCTGGCAACAGAATCATAGAAAAGAAGGGCTGGAAGAGACCTCTAGCATTCATATGGTCCAATCCTCTGACATGTCAGGCAAGTCCAGTGACCCCTGAGCAATGGAGCCCAGTGTGAATAACTTTAAATATGATTTCTTTCCATACTGTAAATTAGATGTGCACTTCATTTCCCTAGGGCTCAAGTAGTTAGAACAGATTCTTTTCCTCCATACCGTGGTATCATTTCTGTGTAATAGCAACATTCCTTCTATGCTGGGTCATGACACAGCATTGATTCTGAGTTACAGAAAAAATATAACTGCATAGAGGCAATCATCAACAACAAAAAAGCAAGAGGAAGAAAACCAGTAAAGATGGATTAAAGACGTTATCTAATGAAAGAATATTAGACTGATATAGATATAGGCACAAAAGCCTTAGTTGTGTAACTGGAGTAATTTCTTCCATGAGGGTGCTGTTCCTGAAGCCAGTCTTTTACCGGGTCCTGACATTCTCAAAGAAGAGCAGCTTTTGAGCCAAGTCCCTGATGAGTGCACGGGTTCTACCCTTCGTGACCTGCTCCGCAATAAACTGAAGTTGGAACAGTTCCGCCTCTTCCTTGAAGAACACTTTGCAATGTACGTTTTCAGTTTCTGTGCTCAAAATGTCTGCTGTCTTTTATGGGTGTTTTGTTTTATAAGTGCCACAGGATTGGAGCCTATCTCTCTTTCTTTTTTTTTCTACTTCACTGTTTCTTTTTGAATTATATAAGGAATGCACTAAAAACAGAACTTTGTTCAGACAACTGAATTATTGCTTTAGGTGTTATTCAGGACTCAGTATCCAGTGATAAAATAGTTTTGATCAAATTCTGCTTTCAGAAGTCCCAGGGCTTCTGTTAAAGGCATCCACCCGAAGAGAGAAATTGTCATACAGCGGGTAACCATTTCTCTTGGTTTTGCAGTTCAGAAGTTTTTATATTTTTAAAATTAAGGCTCAAAATTATAAATACAGAATTTGGCCACATAATTATCAGAGATGTATAAGCAATTGCAGTGTTTGTACATGCAGTTAACATAGTTAAGTGTACAGTCACAGTAACTGCATGCACAACTTAACACACAAAGATTTTGAAAATCTTGGAAAGCCAAGATAAAAAGAAATTTGTATAGGAGTTGGGACAGGAGTGAATGGTTTGTTTGAAAATGACATTTCCTTATCGTCTCCACATCTTTAATATTCCAGCAAATGCTGTATAGCTGCTTTCAGTAGGTAATGTGTTTTCATGCTTCAACCTTTCAATCCCATTTTATTCTCAACTGTTTTCTTAAAATTTCTTTCCTCTGTGATTAAGCTTTGGGTGCTACCTACTGCTTCTGGGTAAACAAAGATATAGTTGTAGACTCAGCATGGCACAAAATATTTTAAAGTGTCTAAGAGTCTTAGTAAAACTGGGCAGAGAAGTGGACTGGTAATACAATTTTATGGAAGATTTAAATACTTCAGAATCAGGCTTTGTTCCAATTTGTAACTAAAACCAAAACTTTCACCATCCCCTATGGAAGGGAATGGAGCTACAGCTCTGGCCCTTGGAAACCCCAGGATCTACTGGGTGGGCTTCCCCAAAGCCTTATGATTCTAGGAGCCTTGATGTTCCAAGCTTGAAGGAAGACTGCAAGACAGGCTACCCAGCACCTTCACAAGCAAGCTTGCAAGAAACCAACCAGGGTTCCATCAGAACCTCATCCAAAGTGATCTATCTGTGCTAAACATTTAGGTTTTAAGTAACTGGCAAATTCCAATGAAGCATTATTTTGTTGGATTGTTTGCTGGTCACCCTAGGAACATAAGTATCAATAGGATTTAAGTTCCTAAGAATTCAAAAGATTTTGAAATTGGAACTTTTCTCCCTAAATCACTTAAGTGCTTTTCAGAATTTTCCCCTGGACTAACACCTTTGACAAAAATCAGCAAACATTTATTAGAACAAACAAATCAGTATTGCATGTGGCTATCTTTTCAGGTTTCATTTTCTGCAAATTTTCTAGTGAACAAATTAATTGTCAGGAATTTTCACAAAAAACATCCTATTTTAAGACCCTTAGAGATTAGTCTAAAAATTCATTTTCGAAGCATGAGCTTTTATCATACTTATCTTTTCCAGTTAAGAAACAAAACTAATATCAGGTGATGTGTATGCCAAATCAAAAATAACACATTACAGATCTGAAATTTTTAATATAAAAGGAATTCAACTGATTGTGAAAAGTTTATATATCTAGAATTTTGCGTTGAAATCATTCATCAATTAATTTGAATAATAAAACTTGAGAAAATAGGACTATATGAAGCAAGGTCATAAACATCAGCAGAAATAAAATTCACCAAAATAATTCATTTTGTTTGTAAAGACTTTCTTTAAAGGCTTTACTTTTTTTGGTCTGAATGTTAACAAGCACCATAAGTCATACTGATTGTAACTTCTCATTTATCAGGGAATTGAGACAAAATTATAGCCAGGATCTGGTCATTTTATTCTGTTTCATTGAATTGTGATCAAATTGGTAATTCATTAGAATTCTAATGATAATTAGATTGACAGTGAATAACAAAGACTGTTATCTTTGATTTGTTCATAGTATGGATCTTTTGTGCTGGATAGATATTGAACAGTTCAGAAGGATGCTCCACAAGGAAAAAGGAAAGCGAGAGGAAAAATCTAAAGATATTAAAAATAAGTACTTAAATAAAAAATACTTCTTTGGACCCAATAGTCCAGCTACAAGAGAACAACAAGAGCAGGTATCAGTATATAAAAATTTAGATAAAGAGAAATTTTGCAGATAAATGTATTTACTCCTGTAGAAATTTGACAGTTGATCATAACCGTGTGCTGAGAGATGCCTGTGTCAGCTAGATGCATACCAAATCTATTATTCTAGTAGCTTTTTCTTTGCATTTCCCTCTGTGTTACTGGTGTCCCTAACATCTACCTCAGTACTCTTCCAAACTTTGCCCACTTTTCCTTCAGTTCTCTGTTAAAAATCTTCCCAAACCTTCTGTTTTCTGTGCCAGCAGTCTAGTTTCATTTCTCTGTTCATAGTATATTTACATTATGTAGTCCAGAACCTAGGCTGCAGCCCAGAGTACACAATGCAGCTAAAAAAGAGTAGGGCAAAACTGACTTCAAGCCAAAATGGCTTATTCCTATTCTGATCTTTAATAGGAAAGTAAATCCACCTGTAAGTGATACCATGTCTCAGCTGTGGTGATCTAAAGTAACTTAATACTTGTAACATTTACTCATTCCAAGATTGGGCATTATTGTACCAGAACCTGTACATGGACTGTACCTCCTGCATCATAGGTAAGACCAATGCAATCTGCCCCATGCAATGAATATCTGCATATGATCCTTGGTTGAGCATATGATTAAATGCTTTGATTAAAATTAAGGTCATGCTTCAATGGTTTGCTGAGACAAGGCTCAAGAGGAATACATGTTTTGCCCATACGGAAGAATTTCTCTCATCTCATCTCATATTTGAATTATTTAGCTAATGCAGTTAGGTGGAGGCTGGGGACAGATTCTTCATGATCAAGTTTCCTCACCGGTTCTCCTTGAAATTCAGAAATATGTCCAGATGAGGCTAGAAAAAAAATGGCTGCCATTGTTCCTGTCAAATGAACAAGCTGGGACCTACAAAAAAACAAAGGTAATGTTTCAGTACTTAACAGTACATTCCAGTACTGTTTTCTTGCTGGGTCCATAATTTACTTGTGGGATAAGACAGGGAGCAGATGGGGCAGAAAATGACAGTCATTTGTAGCTTACTTTCAGTTTAAATTTCATGGAAGTGAGTTACATATACCAACAGGTTGCAGTGTGAAACTGTTGACTGTGAAAGCAGTTTAATGGCACAGTCTGACTGATGGCTTTGGGGCCATGGAAACTGAAGATGATAATGGTTGCTGTCTCTACAGTGTTCCAGACTGTATGGGGGGCAGTTTTGATATCTGTTGCAGTATTCCACACTTACCACCACTCACTAGACTTGCACACAGCAAAAATCCTATTCTGTAGTATTTTGCAGAATTATTTAAAGAGACAAAAATGCAAGACTGCAAATGTGGAGACTGGATGGCTATAGCTTAGCTTACTGATCACATTAACGAATTATTGTAAATTAATTTACACATTAGAGTTGGGAGTAAGGAAACGATTACTCCAGCCGGTCCATCAGAGCCAAAAAGCTGGTGGATAGACATAGCTTGTGTCTCACTTACTTTTTATGGTAGTATATCGACTTTGGGATCTGTGGGAAAAAATCATATTGCTGGGAAGAACAGCAAAAAATCTTGTTTTTAGCACACCCAAAAAATTGAAACCAGATTTTTTACTGATGCAGAAAAAACTGCCATGTCTAACTAGGCAGAGATATTTATGGACACTTATTTGATTTAATTCTCTTTTCAACAAAGAGAGGATTCAGAGAGCCATCAAAATCATAGGTGGATTGGATTCTCTGTCAGTACACACATGTATATTTTATTGGTATACTTCACTTAATATCTATGGTTTTGGTTAGCATTTGGTTGAAGGTTCATCCCAAGCTTAGCCAACAACACACAAGGGGAGTAATGAAGCTACTGTCATATCTAGCAGCCTTCAACTTCCTAGTGCAAATGATTGGGTACCCATTTACAGATGGGAAAGGAGTGAAATTAACTCACACCTCTGTATCCATAACAAAATGCCTTAACTAATTGGCCTCCAACCTTCACCTGTTATGGTACTGTACATAGGAATTTAATACAAGGCATATAAATGTACTGATCATTTTATATTCACCCACAGATACGGGACATAGCTGAAGATCTCCTAATCCAGAGAAATGAGAAGAGGAATGGGGCCTGGAAGGCAAGTGATATCTATTATTTTCCTCTTCCCTCAATTTCCTTAGGCTTTTCTGTTCTAACCCTCAGGATTTTTCATTAGTCCACATTTTTACAAACAAGCCCCAAACTCAAGACTGTCAAAAGTTGTTGCAAATGCATTGACTTCAGGGGAGTTCTGCTCACTTAGACCAGTGGCAAATTTAGCCCAGCTGGATGGGACTCTCCGTGTCCGGAGAGGTCCATCTTATACAGTGCATACATCTCACCAAAGACTGTGCAGTGCCCGTAGCCTCTAAGGCTTAGAACTGGTTTCATACCTTAAGTGCATATTTATCTGGATTTCATGCTGTGGACTTATTGGGACAAGCTGTTCATTCGAGCATCTGGTAGTTTGTTTATTGTTGCAAGTGGATTACATGCAGAAACAAAAGAGAATGTGAAGTATGCAGAAGAGTGGGCAGGTTTAATACTATCTCACAGTATCTGTTTCATTTAGAATTGTATTTTATTTGTACAGCACCAAGATAATATCAGTTTTAGAAATCTTAAACTTCTGTAGTATGACAGTTTAGGAGATGTTTGCCAGTATTTTCCCCTTAAAGAGCAAAGAACTCTTTGTGGTTGCCAACATACAAGTTGTATACATTTATTCAGTCTAACTTTTATTGTCTGTTGAAAACAATTGGAGACCAGGTCACCAATCACTCATGCAAACCACTGGGTAGAGAAGAATCCCTAGTGCCATGTGGATTCTGATTTTTGAATTTTCACCTGGTATCTGTGTTTAGGACAACAGCTTTTTCCAGCTTGTCACTTATGGTGGTTGTTTCACTGTGTGTCATTGTGCGGGTGCGAGTGAACCAGGAGGCTCCGAGGCTCACTGGGTCAGGCCACCCACAGGACCGCATCCATCTCTGCCCCTGAAGGTGGGACAACCGCTTACTTGTTGCAGGTGTGCGGCGAGAGAAGCCGAGGTAAAAGCAGCGTCGGAGCAAGAGAGCGAGGCAGCGGAACTGGAAGTGCCAGTTCAAAGGGCGGACACCAGCGAGAGCGTGAGGAGGCGGGTGTGTGCCGCCCAACACTGCACCCGCACGTTCTGGGGCACGGGTAAGACCCCAGCGGGGAGCGGAACTTAGGGGGGTGAACCCCCAGGCACGGAGGGACGGATTGGGCTGGCCAGGAGCGTCTGGCTCCGGCGGAACCCAAGCGGCCCCGAGCACGGAGGGACGGATCAGGCTGGCCAGGAGCATCTGGCTCCGGCGGAACCCCAAACAGAGGAAGGACCTCAGGACAGGGGGCGGACGGACTGCTGGCGGCGGCCGTTGCAGTGGGGGACCGAGCGTCCCGGAAGGAGGGCTGAAGACTCCCCATTAAGGGAAAGACGACCCCGGTGAGGAAGCAGGAAACCCCGCAGGGGCAAAGGCCAGGTATCGGAAGCGGCAACTCCGTACGGGAGCGGTGTTGCGTTTCCTTGACCATTTTGTTGTTGGGGTTTGAGCCCGTAGAAGAGAAGACTGGACTATAGGGCCGGCCATCAAGGGATTGGCCTTAAGGCACGGAGGCACGGGTGAGGGTATAGGGGTGGCAGAGCCCTCAACCACGCGGGACCCTGTGAGAAGACGAGGTCTCATTTTTGGACGTGTACGTGTTCGACGATCCAACTGAACTGGGAAACATCAAAGACGTGGCAGGCGAGTTCGGCGCGTATAGTCCGTAAAGTGAATGCTCGGTATCGCTGGGGCACCCTTCCGCCTCTGCAGAAGGGACAGACGGGGGGGGGCGTTCACAGTCATAAGCAGGGTTTAAGTAGATCAGGACTGGTATAGGAGCAGCACCTTGCCCATCGCATAGCAGAGCAGGCCTGACTAATAACATTTTGGTCTCATGTTCTAACATGCAGTCAGCTCCTGGTTATAGTGACTCTATGGACTATGAATGGAACAAGCGTGGGGCTTTTGAGGAGGATCAGGAAGACAGTTCTTTTGGAACTGTCCTAATTTAACTTATTTTATTTTAAGGTGATGAGATTGTTGGGCTGTCACCATATTCCTTTATTGCAAGAGAAGTGAAGCCCTGCTGCCTGGGCTGTGAACTAGTTCCTCGACTGATTAGTCTCAACTTGATCTAGTCATGGATAGTGGCCAGAAGTCCTCATTCTTCAAATGAGATAGTTACATCCTTCTGGCCAGCTAAAGATGAGAACAAGTCAGCATGCCTATTGCTGCCCCTGGATATTTTAGCAGCAGCTGTGGAATTAACCAGAGACTCAAATAGTGAATCCAGCAGAAGGTGCCTGTCCTCATGTTGAAGGACTGATCTTGCTGCCATATTTTCCAGTTCATTCCTGCAGCCAACATCATGTGGCCAGCATTTGCAGGAACTTAAATTCAGTCATTACAATGGTCCCTTCTGGCCTTCGAATCTATGACTCCCCTTAATCTTACTTGGATTAAGGCTCAGCCAGCTTGCTCTGACCTCCCAAACACGATGTAATACATGTAACAGCTTTGGCTAAATGAGAAAGGATGGAAAAATACAGCTATGTATCATAAGAACACATAAAGTTATACAGACCCTGGTTCCCTCCTAACCCTCCTAGCAACCTCATTAAATACATTCAGCTAGAGGGGTGACAAGCTAGAATCTTGCAGAATTTCAGGAATGAGAAGCAGCCGCCTAACCCCACCTCTTAAGAATGCTAAGCTGTGTAAGAATGGAGACAAACAAGAGCAGCCGTTTCCACCCCAGTCGTGCTTTACCATTGTATAAACAAAACTTCACAATTCATGGTGTCAGAAGAATGGAGACTGGTTCTGATCTTGATCCATTCTAAGTTACTTTCCTAGGGTGTTTCTTTCAGTTATTTAATGATAGAATCAGGCGAAGCTTGTAATATTAATATCAGCCTTAGAAAGACAGGGAAACTTAGCTAGGGAACTTGACAGGGGCCAGAGTGTGTCTACTTGATATCAGATAAATATGCAAGAATCCTTCAATCTCTGCAAGAACAACACATTCCTCTGCCTCTGGGTAACTACTGGACTATACTCCACCCCCCCCCACCTCCCCCCTTGGTCCAGGTGAATTTCATACCAGTATTATAGGCTAATTTGCAATCATCGATCTGATAATGATGGGGAATTGTTTGACTTACGTTTAGTGACTACTGGTAATAATAAAGCATAAGATGTACTGTTGGTTCAGTAAAAAAGGACAGGGGACTGATTTCCATTCCATACTTCATTTCCAGCAAACTTCTGCCTGAATCATCCTTTTCTCCTCTCACTTTTCTGCCTGATTATTACTTTCTGTCTGTTTTGCTGCCTGAAGATACCCAAAATATCGTGAGGACTTTAAATCATGTTTTACTATCAGTAGACTTTCTTCCGGAGAGAGCAAACTCTCCAGCTTCCGTTGGTAATCGTGACAACACATTTCAAAGCTGATTTTGTTAGCGAGGTCCCTGTCAGAAGCACTTTAGAATTTTTAGCTGTGTGGTTTGTCTGTTCCTTTTTCTTTGTTGTTTGTTTGTAAAAAAACAAAAAAGAACTCAAACTGTTCCCTAAAAAGTAACAATGGCTGTTTCCATACTTCATAGTATGTAGTCATATGTTCTAAATCATTGTCAGTCATTTCCTCTCCCATCACATCTTCCAAAAAATGTTGCCCAAGCCAAACCAAAGGGGAAAAAAGAAAGAAAGAAAGTAAAGAAAGATTGCCAAGTTCTATTGTATCCATGTCATAAACTACTGAAAGTTAGGGTCAGTGCAAAGATAAGTATCAGACAGTTTACCCTAACTAATGCCTTTGTTATTGCTTTTTGAAACAGAGTTTATTCCGTGCATTTATTTTTTCTTTTGACAGCATGTGGACAATAAGTGGGTTTCTTCATCTCGGGAAATAATTACTTTTCGTAAAGCGCTGTTGAATCCAGTAACAGCATTTCAGTTTCAGCGCTTTGTGTCTTTGAAAGGAGACTTACTGGGGAATGGAGTGCTCTTCTGGCAAGAGGTTCAGAAATACAAGGTAAAATGGAAGTCGTTTTAAGTGCATGTATCCATTAATGTGTTTTTGGAGACTTTCAACTAGAACACCTTTAATCAGTTTGCTATCAACATCAGTGCAGCTTGCTTCACTGCTTTATTGTTTTCTTCCATGCAGAGCCTCCAATCTTTTAGATGAATCTTTTAAATTAATTGAGCATTTCATACTCATATTCCTTTATGCTTATACATATTATAGAATCATAATACACATTTAAAGAGATCCAGTCTATGTTCAAAATGTTGTTGCTTAGCATTGATGTATACTGTGCTGTGCAAATGCAGTGACAGCACTAAAATATTCATCCAGGTTTGGGGGCATTATAGTTCTAGCAGTACTCCACATTTAAAGTAGAGAGAATATCACTGAATCAGTCATACCTCTGAAATCAGGTGTATACAAATAGCCCAAAGAGCTTACACTTAAAAGACAGACTCCTGGTATAATGCTTATTCACTGCTGCTGAAGATCTGGCCTAGCTGCACTGAAGTTGCAAGAACCAAACAATAGGCCAACCTGGACTGTTTCTCTCATGAATACTTGCCCCTTGTGAAATTGTGACAGCCTGACAGAAAATGCACACAGGAAAAAACTGAGAGCCAGATTGTGCCTTTAGATCACATTGCTGCCAAATACTGCTGTGGGGAGCATTGCTGAACCCAAGGCCCAATGACTCCTCTACTTGTTCTGCATTTCTCCCTTCCGTTTAAAGCTACCTAGGGATCAGATGGTCCTGGCAGGGAATAAGAAGTCTGTGATGAGGTTAGGAGAGCACTGTGACTGACTATGACTATGCTAGGCTCCTGCTCTCAGAATGCTGGGCATTGCTGCAATCAGGCAGTATAGTCAAATATGATGATGATGTAGTGTTTGTACCATGCTGGACTAGTACTGATTTTGTTCAATGTCATCATCAATGACCTGGAAGATGGCATAGAGTGCATCCTCAGGAAGTTTGCAGATGACACCAAGCTGTGGAGAGTAGTAGATATGCTAGAGGGTAGGGCTAGGATTCAGAGTGATCTAGACAAATTGGAGGATTGGGCCAAAAGGAATCTCATAAGGTTCAACAAGGAGAAGTGGAGAGTCCTGGATGTAGAATGGAACAGCCCCATGCACCAGTACAGGGTAGGGGCTGACTTACTGGGCAGCAGCTCTGCAGAAAAGGATCTGGGGGTTACAGTGGACAGTCAGCTGAATATGAACCAGCAGTGTGCCCTTGTTGCCAAGAAGGCTAGCAGCATACTGAGCTGCATTGGTAGGTGTGTTGCCAGTAGGTAAAGGGAAGTGATTATTCCCCTCTATTCAGCATTGGTGAGGCCACATCTGGAGTTTTGCGTTCAGGTTTGGGTCCCCGCTACAGAAAGGATGTGGACAAATTGAAGAGAGTCCAGTGGACGGTGAAAAAAATGGTGAGGAGGCTGGGGGACATGACTTCTGAGGAAAGACTGAGGGAACTGGGCTTATTTAGTCTAGAGAAGAGGAGACTGAGAGGGGACTTAATAGCAGCCTTTAACTACATGAAGGGGCATTCCAAAGAGGATGGAGCTAGACTGTTTTCAGTGGTGGCACATGACAGAACAAGGAGCAGCAGTCTCAAGTTGCAGCAAGGGGAAATTCAGGTTTGATATTAGGAAGAATTTTCTCACTGGGAGGGTAGTAAAACACTGGAGCAGGTAATCCACAGAGGTGGTGGAAGCTGTATCCCTGGAGGTTTTCAAAACCTGGCTAGACAAAGCCTTGGTTGGGATGATCTAGTTGGGGCTGGTCCTGCTTTGAGCAGGGGGTTGGACTAGATGACCTCCTGAGGTCCCTTTCAACCCTAACTTTCTATCATTCTATGGAGAGCCCAGTCAGGACTAGGCCTAGTTGTGCTAGACAGTTTGTGAACATATATTAAAGACAGTCCCAGTCAGGGGGGAAAACAGCCAAGAATATGTTTGTTCTGGTAAGCTGTGACCTCAGTTTGCAATTTTCAAGCATTTCTTAAAGTAAATGACAGCCATACATTAATGAGGTGCTCATCAAAACAGTAACTACTTGCTTTGCCATCATTAATTCATTGAGCAAATGAACATCAGAACCACAGGAAATCAGAGCTGGCTCATTATGTTTGAAATTGCCAGAACAGGCTTCTTCAAGGCCAGCCAGTTCAGAAAGCATAAAAGAACCAAGACTCTTTAGCTAAGGCTATGAGATGGGGATTCATTTTTTACTTCAAAACTGAGACTAGCTGTGGGGGCTAATACCTACACTCAAAATTTCTGAGACACATCCAGGTTAGTGGTTCTTCATGACGGTACTGTGGAGAAAAGTGGTTTGCCGGTTCAGGCATTTTCTTTGTGGAACTCTTCTAGGAAGAAAGCTATTACTGTTTGACCCTCCATTTATGTTAATTTTATTTGTTTTCCTATCAAACAAAGAAAAGTACAGTCTGACCACAATCATACACCCATGGTATTTTGGCAGGGCTGGCAGTCACTGCTCTTTATAAGATTCAAAAGACTGAACTAGCAAGAGTGTGGCAGGTCAGGCTGTACTGGAGGAATACTGCCAAAACTGTGGGTAGAGTTTTGAATTGTGCCTGCCTCTATTGTCTGAATCATACCATGCCATTAATGTTCAAGCAGAACTCCCTCTGGGTGCTGAGGCCTGCATTGTTCCTTACAGCCTGTCAGATTGGTGGCATGTCTCTGGGCAACTGAAAAAGAAATGATTCCTAAAATAAGTATGAAAAAAATGTAACACTCTGTGGGATTGTGTCTGTCTGCTCCCCTTTGTCCTGCTCTCATCTTTCCTTTATATCCTATGTGACTTATTTTTCTTTTCTCTTTGCTTTCATTTTTTGAAATGTATTACATCTCAAATTAGTAGGCAAAGCATAAAATAATATTATTGCTGAATACATCACTTGTGGTGTTCTTCTCAGAGCTGTCTCCCATTTGTCAATTACCTGCTCAGATTGAATCAGGGATATCAAATACACGGTTTCATCAGAATCATGTAAACAGGAACTATTATCTCCACTCCATAACTATGTATGCAACCTAGTAATCCCACTGGCTTTTTTGGTGTCATGATAATATGTATTTGCTGTTAATGTAAGAACTCAGTTGTACCTTAGTTAATTAGTTGTGTGGAGCTGATGTTCTCTGGATTTCTTTGTCCTTGTTAAGAACTGGGGGAAAGGGAGGTAGATAGCTTCTAATATGTAGTGCCATATTCACTGCATACTGCATTTTCCCACATTCAGGACATGTGCCATTCTCACTGTGATGATGTTACCATCCAGAATAAGATCACGGCTATCATCAACTGCTTTATTAATTCCACCATCCCTCCAGCTCTACAAATTGACATTCCAGTTGAGCAAGCTCAAAAGATTGTAGAGCACAGGAGAGAACTTGGGCCTTATGTGTTCAGAGAGGCACAGGTAAGAGGTCAAGGATAAATCAGTAACAGATTAGACTAGAGGCATTGTACCTGATTTGTAGAGGTAGGTTTTGCCTTTTGAGGTCACAATTTTCTGCCCATAAATAAGTGTGGCTATCAAGTTGTTCTTAGGGGTGTATTAGCAGGTTATAAGGTATCTTGCTACAGATCCAGAGGTGTGAGTGATCCAACTGCAAAGGGTGTCTGATCTCTCAGGCTGGGAAGTCAAAGGTAGTTGGTGCCCGCCACATTGCTCTCTTGTGTGCTGTTGGCTATTGAAATTGGTATGCCTTAACCAGGGCCCTTTATGCCCAGAAGGATCTGTGCCTTCATTGTAACTAACTGTTTTTATTGAGATTAAGGGTAAATGTAAAGAAGAGACTTCAGAATATTAATCACTCAGTAGATTGGGTAAATGCTGTTATTTATACCCTGGAGTGGGGCACTCCTTTAGACATACTACTTTTGTTTCTTGGATTGCTTGATTTCTATCTCTTAATTAACAAAATGAACCAATTTTTGTGGTCTGAGGATTCACACTTCTAAATCTAAAAAATATCAGATGTCAAGAAAGCACAACAGGCATCTTAACTTTCTGACTCTCTGGCCATTTTTTGTTCCTGGAGATTTAAGGAGCTGGCTTGGGAGGAGTGTTCGCTCAGCTAATTCTGTTCCACTGACCAAACAGGGTTATTTTTAAATTCATACTATTAACCTTGTATGGTTATTACCTTTTATGCTTTTATTTTTAAAAAATAAAAGTAACTGATTCCTCCCCCTTTCGCCAAACTGATGCCAGCTCCTTTTAAAATCTACAAGCATACTTAGTTCCATTAAAGTCACAAGAGGCAAATGATTTGTAAGACAGGAGGATTTATATAGATCGTCAGATAAGTGAGAAGGCTAATTTAAGATTAAGCCCCACTACTGTTAAATGTACCAAACTCTAGAAGTACAGAGTGGAACTAATAGAAGAATTTGGGAAAACAACAGGATGGACACTAGTAAGCATTTTGGGCCTAAATCTCTGAGGCCAACTATTTTTTAAATCAAAGAAAAGCATAGGATCCTCAGCAGGTTAAAAATCTGAGCCTAGTGTATTAAAGATGTTTGGGTGCTGAACTCCCATTGATTCTGATGGTAGTTTAGTGCTTAAATTTTTTTAAATATATGAGCCTTGATTTGTGCGACAGTAGAATGCACTGAATCTCTCTTTTTTTATTGTTTTCCTTATTCCAGTTCAACAAAGACCCTATGAGAGATTATATCATTTAAAAATTATCCAAGATTTGCTCATGGATCTGTAATGTGGTTTAAGAGCTTTTCCAGAGGCAAAAAAGTATTTCCTTTCTCTTAAAGAGGAAGAGAAAAAAAAGCACTCTCCCTGATGAACAGAATATTTTAAATAGTTGAGCAGAATAGTGGTGTAAAAAGTAATTCAACTGGTGCATATTTTAGTAAGAATACTTGTAAAAAAAGTGATGGATGTTTTCATTAATGCAGATGATTGTTTAGGGAAATATAGAAAAAGAAAGTGCCTTTTAACTGTGTTTTAGGAAGATTTCTCACCAGTAATAAACACACTGATGAAAAGCATGTGCAAGGCAAAGCTGGACTGAATTGTCAGGAGACCGTACGTGGGAGGAAACATGCTGTGTATTTAAAAAAAGAAATAGTTATTTCATTCTTATGGTAAACTACATTTTTTTACAGTAAACTCTGTTTTCTTAACATCTGCAAGTTGAACTTCCTTTTCTTTCTGCTCAGATGACTATTTTTGCTCTTCTGTTTAAATTTTGGCCAAAATTCTGTGAGTTTCGAAGCAATTTGGCTGATGAAAAAATTTTGCCTGTGTTGGAGAGGAAAAAGGAAAAGAAAGTGGAAAAAGGGAAAAGAAAATCAGCAGAAGAACGACTCACCAAGACCCAGGTGAGAGGCTGAAAGAACCAAAAACATACTTTCTGGTGAATAAACATTAACAATACAAATATCCCCTCTGTGGGCTTGATCCAAAATCCACTGAAGTCAATGGAAAGACTCTAATATTTTTTTTAGAATACAGATTTTAAATACTATTCAGTATTGGCGAATTAGGCCCCAGTACTGCATGTGTTTATACACAGGCTTAATTTTAAGAAGGGAAGTCAATAGGAATACTGTTCTTAAAGAGAAGCACATTATATCTGTGTTTGCACAGCTGGGGACTCCCTCCTCCCTCTCATTTTTAATAGAGGGGAAAGTACATTTTTATTTATCTTTGGGGGGGTGCAAAAATGTAAAAAATAAAAAAAAAAGGCGGGGGGAATATTTTCAAACAGGTCTCTCTATATATTGCGTGTGTAAATGCGATAAGTGTTTACCTGCATGCACGCAGGATTTTTAAGCAGGGTTTACTTAGCTGGTATCTATAAGGCTATCAGTTACATTTTTTAAAACCCATTTTCTTAGATGTGTTACAAAAAGCACCTTGTAGAATTTAAACAACACATTTTAAAATTCTGATGTTTTGCTTACTCTTCTTCTGGATGTTTTATTATATGTCCCTCACCTTTTGTAGTGGGATCTTAGGCTACTCATTTACACTTTTGTTTAGAGGGAGTTTCCAATCAGTACCAGGTTTTAGGGGCTCATGCATTGGCAGAAAGGGTCTGTGTTTCAGATGTACCTCTCCAATGGCGATGTTAGTTTGTAAAGCTGTTTCTCCTGGAGATTCTCTTGTTTTTAAAATGACAGAAAAATTTGTGCTGGTCATAGGTTGGACTAAAAGTTCTTTTTTCAAAACCTAAATGTTCGGATGAGTTTGAGAGTGCCTTTTTAAGGGCAAAGGAACAGCTGCATTGAAATCAGTTGATTAAAATGTGTATAGTAGTTTACATCCTCAATGTACCATATAAACATGCTGTTCAGATACTGATATGTGGTGTTCATGAGTACATGGATGGGCAGAGACCTAAACTAACTAATCTTCACAGCACTCTGTGAGAACCAGTATTCTACCAGTATTCCTATTTTAGAGACAGGGGAAACTGAGACACAGGCAGATACTGTGACTAACACAAGCGACACAATAATCAGTGTCGAAACCAGAACTCATGCTCTTTTCTCCAGAGCACATTGCTTCCACAAACAAATGCCTGGGTAGACATTGCCATAGTCATGAGGAAGGGACACAGTGGCAATTACTGCATGCTTTTGCTTTCACCTCAGACACTTCTTCTCCTTTGGAGATTACCTGATATGCAGATCCTTCAGCTGTTGGGCTGAGGTAGCAGTTGTGTGTGGAATGACGTAGGCTTGGGGAAATATGCTTTATACCCTCTCTCTGAACTACGTGCCTATGGCCTAGGCCAGCTAGTGGGATTGAGCTTTGAGCTATGGATTTGTTCTTCTTTAAGGTATTAGACTGCATGTGACACATGCTGGTTGCATCAGTTCCTTTCTGTAAATTGTTCTTATGCCAGTATTTTTAGTGAGTTAAATATGCAGTTGCACTTTGCTTCACTTCCAAAGTAATTCTGAAATTTTAGCCTGAGAGTTATCCAAAACCTGAATGAGTTTTTGTTAATGTTTGTTTTAAATCTGCACTTGTTCTTTCTTTGTCCTCCCTTCAGAATAAGGAGATTCCCAGGTGCCTGGATTTCACTTTTCTTTGGCACAAATGGATGTTACCAAACAATTTAGACTAAATCCTGCAAAGTGCTGAGTATCTTTTGTCAGTAAGAATGGAGGGTATTTGGCACCTTATAGGATCAGGATCTTTCTATCTGAAACCACAGACTCTTATTTATTTTTTTTAAATGATGTGATTCCTTGGTGAATAAGAAAATTATTTTGCATTCATTCTGGGTTCAAAATCTGGCAGTTTATAGTATGCTATTACAACTGTGGGAGAAAAACAAATTGTTAGGAAAATTCCAGGAAATCTAGAAAACAGGAAATCCAATACTTGATGCAGGACAGTTCTGTTATATGGAAAGAATTGCTGATGTGTGATTGATTTCTTATTCATGTGAACTTATATATTTTGGCAAATGGCACTGTTTTTTATTGGTACGCTGTATCCTCACTATTGAGTTATAGTGGTATGGTGCAGATTTTGAAAATGAGTCTTGAATTTCATTCCACACTTCCAAAAACTGGTAAGCCTTTGAGGGATTTGTGCCATTTCACAAGCAACTCTCCTGACTAAGTAATGTGTATGTTTGATAAATACTTGCTTCATTTGGGAGACTCTTGATTTTTCTCGGAGTCCTTGTCTCTCCTTCCTGATCAAACTTCTTTAGCAACTTAGAGATTTTCTTGCATCAAAGGCAAGGTATAAATGACCCATGTTTCCTTCACTGGAATCAACCTCACCAAGTTTTTTTTGTTTTTTGTTGATGGTGATGTCATGGTATGAAAGATTTTACTATGTCATGACCTCACCCTGCATACTAGGAGAAAAAAATCATTCACAATCTCACATATATCTCCACATTCCCTGCGTATAAATAAAATTTGTCTTCAGAAATTTTGTCTCAGTCCAAGTAACTGGGAATTTTGCAGGGGTTAAGAAGCCTTGCTTCAGATGGAAGATGGAATGCCTGCTGGAGGAGCAGGTCAGCACTCATTTGGACAGTATTTCATGACTGCTAATCCATAGGATATTGAGGGAGGTACAGAGATGGGATAGTGTGGAGATAGAAAGAAAGGATAGTGTTGTGGAACAGATAACTGGGAGATCATGGTTCTTTTGCCAGCTCTTCCATAGACTCTCCTTAGGACCTTGGGAAGCCTTTTAATCTTTTTTTTTTTTTTTCTCAGGTATCCCTTCTGCAGAATGGGTGACCCTTAGTTGCATCAGAGGTCTGTAGTGAGGTTAATTAATCCTTTTATAAAGGTCTTTCAGATATCCCTTTGAAGCATGTTTAAAACAATATTAACAGTGCGGGTAGTTAACCACTGGAACAACTTAACAAGAGTTCGACTGGCTTCTCCTTCACTGAAAATCTTTAAATCAAGATTGGATGTTTTTTCTCAAAGAGATACTCTAAGTCAAACAGGAAATAATTCAAGGATGTCCCATGGCCTGTGTTAGCCAAAAGATTAAAAGATATGCTCTAGCTCAACCACAGCCCTTGGATCTTGAGGCACAAATTAATTCAAGGAAGCCCTATGGCCTGAGTTAAGCAGGGGGTCAGAGTGTAAGATCACAGTGGTCCTGCCTGGTCTTAAAATAGATGGAAGTGTGCTCCATTGCAGGTACATCCTACCATCCAGCAAGTCTTATGATACCTCTTGTGAAGGAAGAAATGATCAACTGGGAATTGTAAATCTTTGTTCAAAATATGCGTGTAATGTACAAAGATATTGTCCATGGCATTGTTACATCTCAATTGTCATCCCAGGTCAGCTGCCACTATGTGCATCTAATCAAAGACTTGTTTCTATTGACAACAGCAAGGGAAAAAGGTTGTCAGTATAGCAAGCAGTGTGTCTGGAGAAGAATGGGGTGTGGGCAGAAGAACACCTTCATCTGCATCTACATCAGCATCTGCACGGCAGGTGAGTAACAGTATAGCTTGCTCTGGATATCTTTACCTCAGCCTGCATTGAGAGCTGAAACAGGTGCTAAAGAAAATGGAAGGGGGGAGACTGGCTTTAAAATCAGCTTTTGCAGTGTTCTTAAAAATCTTTAACTCCTACCCATTAATTTTGCAGATCAGTAACCTGCCCTACTCCTTCTGATGTTTCTCAGTTTTAGATTCTGAGGAACATTTCAGACCTTTCAAGCTGAGAAGTGAGAATAGCACAGGTATAAACTAGAAGTAAGCCAAAGGCAATGAGGTCCAGATCCGTATTAGATGTTATCCATACCCTGGGGCTATTGATGCCTTTTGGGGAATTTAGTTTTGCCACAACTCTTATGGGAATCAGTTTTAAGGTTGAAAAACTTGGAAATGGGCACTGTTTATGAGATCTTGGTACTTGGATGTAGAATTGCCTGCTGCTTCATTGAGAACAGTCTTCATGATGTATCAAACTGTGGCATATAATGAAAGGGAAATGGTAATTTTTGTTGGACAGAATGGATACAGCAGCTTACGAATACTAAGCTATGATTTGTGGTGTAAAGCTTGTGGGTGTTGAGAATGCAGAAGGACCAGCCTCAGCTACCCCAAATTTCACCATAGTTTGGATAAGTGAATTGTCCTGCTTATGGTCCTTTCCCTCAAACAAATATTCTACCTTTGTTCAAACCTGTCTCTAGAAAACAGTGAACTGGCTCATTCCCAGGACATAATGCTGCATGACCAGGCCCTGATATCCTTGGGCCTCACAATTTTTGGGAAACTGGTAAAATCTACTGAAACAGCTTCTGTCTTCAAACTGCTTTCTGTTGTAGTAATAGTTCTTTAAACTGAGCCACCAAATACAAAATTGGGCTGGATCCTATTCCATTTATTAGGCTTGTAAGTGGATTTAGGCACCTAAGTGTGATTCTCTTCTACCTTGCTCCAGACCCTGGAAAATATTTAATGCAGAAGTTGGGAGGGTATTCCTTTTTTCTTGCTGCCTTTTTTGTTACTCAAAGGTCAGGTGATTGTAGGTTACAAAAGTAGATGCATTAATGGATTTTTATGAACTTGAACAGGGTGGAATAGAATTATATCTAGGCACCTAAGTCTACTTAGATTCCTAATAAGTGGAATAGAATCAGGCCCTTAAAGTTTTAGGGAAAAGGGCTGATATAGAGAAGTCTTGGCTTAGCCTATACCTTGCATTATAGTCCTTATAATAGTTTGGATGAGTGATCTAGAATTTACACTGAACTAGGTAAATTAAAATTGAAAGACCAACATTTGTTCTTTTAGAGGAGAGGAGGTGCCATGTCTTAGATGTATCATCTTACCTTAGATAGCAGAATACTGCCAGGAAAGGCAGAAAGAACTGGAAGGTTTGATAGGCCTGTTGAGATTTGGGAGTGGGGGATAGGCCATCAAGGAGAGTAGTAAGGTAAGGGGCTCAGGGGAACAAAAGAATGAATCTTGAAAGAACAAAAGGATACAGCATTTGAACATGTGGACAGGAAGGGGGGAGAGAAGGTAAATGGGGACCTGAATAATTAGCTTAAGCATCCAGCCTCTCAGACTTCCCTGAACTGCACCTCTGATATTTTGGGATTTACTCATTGCTAGGAACGTTTTCTTCATTTCTTTCACTTTCACCATTGTGAAGACAAAACCCTTCTTTCCAATCCCTCTTTCAGCTGCAAGAACACTAGCATTGTAGTAACATAAACAAGCCTGTTCTTTGTTGAAACAGACCATCAACTACCAGTTACATGGTGAAGAGACTGATTTTTTAAAATGGTTCTTGCAGGTTTCCTGGTCTTATTCCAAGTACATAGAAGCCCTTGAGCAAGAGCGAGTACTCCTTAAAATGCAAGAAGATCTGGAGAGAAAGACATCATCATTTTTCACAGGTTATTAATCAAATTCTGTGGTTTAGGAGAACAGTTTGGTCCAACTATTTATACACTTCAAGGTGAAATTTGCTTAGCATGAGACCCTTATTTTTTGCTTGCTCTGTTTTGGGACTATTTGGGTGGGCCTTTGCCTCCAATACCCCTATTGTCTACTGTTGAGTGGCTCTTTTTACCCACCGCACATGGCTCACTGTCATCACTGAGGTCACAGGGAAATGACCATGGGATCTGCATTTGTACAAGTAGGACACATGCTACTTCAACCTGTACATTGAGACAGCAGTCATGGGACCAGTGCATTGCAGCCCTATGTTCCAGCCCCTGGGCTAGAAGGTGCATTTTTCCTCCTCATTTCCTTGCATTTGAGCCAATTGAGCTTTATGCAGGCAAAAAAAAATAACTTTTTATAATTCTGCTGACATTCTCTCACTGAATGTACTGGCATTTGCTGCAGTTTTAGTCAGTAAGGAATTGAATATCCTCATACTTCCCCAAAGAATTTATACTCAAACAGTTGTCTCCTATTCATTCCTTAAAGTGGGAAACCTGTCAGTGTTCCATAACACTTTCCCAAGTGAAAGCAGTTTCCCTTAATTTCATTTTGCCTCCCTTTTGTAGCTGCCTCATCAATGTCATTTATGAAGCCGAACCACCAAGCAAGCTCAGAAAAAACTTCCATTTCGCCATCCTCTAGTTTGATTTTGGAGAAACGGTCAAATATTTCCAAAGACACAGAAAGTGAGTCTGACACTTTGCATCAGCTTGACATTTGTGTTGAATGATGTCCTCACCTTCAGCTGCCTGGTGGTGATCTCTGACATGCAGGCACTCTAGACCCACTCTATTTTAACTAGTTTAGGGTAGCGGTTCTCAGCTATTTTAGATTCAAGGCACCCCTCACTTTTTAAAATCTCATGGAACTGCATTTAAAAAATGAATGGAAATATGTTATGAATATTGGAATATAAACATACCTATCTTGTTGATTGTTAATTAGTTATTACTTGATTAGATCCTTATAATTATATATTATACTTACCCCACTCCCACCACCACTTGAGCCAGGTGGATCTCCACTGTACACCTCCTGCAGAACCTGATTGAGGAGCAGCTGTGGCAGGAGCATGCACTTTTGCCACAGCCCTTCCCAGTCTGACCCTGCTCGGTGTCTCCCAGAAACAGAGGCAGGCAGGGCAGATGGAATTGTCCCCCACACCTCTGTTTTCAGGAAATACATGAGAGCCAAACTTGGAAATGGCTGCAGTAGAAATTATGCAGGGCAGTTGTACCTGGTGGCAATGTCAGTCTCCAGGATGCCACCACTGTGGGCTCAAATTGCCCCACAAGCTTTGGTTTTCAGGAGGCACGTGGAACCCAACTGAGAAGGAGTTGTAGCAGAGGTAGTAAACCTGACTTCACTATGTAGTACAGGCAGGCACGCCTCTTCTGCTTTAGCTTATTCTTGCTTTTCAGCATGAGCTGAACCCAGAAGAGCTGAAGCAGAAGCAGCGTGCCTGCCTGTACAATGTAACGCAGTCAGATGTGCTGCCTCAGCTGTAGCTCCCTCTCAGCTGGGCTGCATGTCCCCCTGAAATGAATGCATATGGGTAAATTGCACTCTGTAACAGTGTAGGCATCACAGCACCCCTGGCAGGTTCTCGTGACACCTGGGGGTGCCGCAGCATTTCAGTTGAGAACCGCTGATTCAGGGTGTTGGAAGATGCTTGGTGGAATGAAAAGCTAAGTCCTCAAACAGATCTAGCTATAGGTTGACCCTGTCTCTGCAGCTGATAAAGAGTAAAATGGGGAACAGAAGAGGGAAGGTAAGGAGATCCTCAAAGTAAAAAGCAGAATTTGGAACCCCAGTTAAGGAACCCCCTCAGTTTTTCAGATGATACTGAACTTAAGACACCTCTCTTGGAACTGTTTTTAAATTGATCATCTGGAATTATTTTAAAATCAATAGAAGCATGCTTTTGTTTTCCCTCCATCTTCCCTTCATCTTTTGCTGCTTCATTTCAATATCCTTACTTCAAGGCAAGGTGGCCTCAGCTCTTTACTATGACCATGGTACTTCCAGTGCCTGAGGCAGCACCACCTGTATGTGACCAGCAGAAGGAGTAATTTCCACAGGCTAGGTTCTCTCCTTTCACTCTTTCCTGTGTTTTTCATTTCCTTTCCCATGCTGCTGTCTTCCTCTTTTCATCCTCTCTACATGAGTCCTGTATCCTTTCCCCCTTGCTGTCTGTCTCCTTGTCTCTCCCCTTCCTTCTGTCCCACAGTCATGCTGGTTTCTGTAGCCCTCTCAACTTCCTTATTTTGCCATCTCTTTCCTTCCTTTTCCTTACAAAACAACCTGCTGTTTTAGCTACTTTTGGATGGCTCCTTGTAGTGAAGCCTCATGTTTCCATTCTCTGATTCTCCTCACCTGCTCCTTCTGCAATGATTTGATTCCCAGCTCTTGTGATTCTGCCTTTGTAGGGGAGACATTGGTCACACTCAGTCAGCCCAGATCCTGCAAGTGCTTGTTCCTCCTCTCCCTGGGTTACCAAAGGAACAGGACATCCTTTTAGTGCCTGGATATTCACTAAAGCCTTTTCACACCTTTGTGATTACTTGTTTCATCCTTTGCACTTGGCTGCCACATTGTTAATGATATTTCCTTACCTTTTCCAGGAGGATTTAAAACCTATGTGAAGGATGGAACGCAGAGACAATGAATTATGGTGGCCTTAGGGCGAGTTAGAAGTTGAAGTAAATCACGTGCAGCTTGGTTTGCGGTCAGATTTTCAGAACATAGATAATCCACCTACAAGGGTCAACAGATGGTAGAGTCACCGGTTGAAAACACAGGCTCCATGGCAATGTGATGCTGCTGCTGCTGCTTTGCTATGTTTTTTTTTTAATTATGGTAGTGCATGGTACGCATAGACCCCAATCAGGGTTGAGCCAGCTGTGGTAGGTGCTGTACAGACACCTGGATCAACTTGATCCTTACCCCATAGCTCTTACAGTCGCATTCAGTTTTTCAGTGCTGAGCTAATAAGTGTTACACTATCTTAGGTCTAGTCTACAGGGCAGTGAACTCCAGCTCTACCTTCACAATTCTGAATGTGTCCATGCCTAAAGCTCGTCTGCAGCTGCCAACAGAGTTACTTCTCCTCGGCTAAATAGAATAAGGCTTCTGCCAGTTGCCCTGGTCCCTTCCCAGAGTACATTTTATGCTGTGGTAGCACAGCTGCTTGGTGGAGCTGCCAGAAACATCTGTGTGTGCATGCACTCTGGTACCTTGGCAGTAGTGACTGCTATCCACAGCCAGACATTTCTGAGGTATCAAAACACAAACCCCTAGTACTACTTTGGTCTTGAACTCAAGCCCATGCCTAAATCCAGTCTGGATTCTGATCTGAAGGACCTTCTGCCCCATACCAATTTTGTTTTGGCTGTGGTCTCAAGCAGTGTTTAAAAGGCCCTGAGTAGCAGGCCTGGGAAATAATATTTCTGAAAAGTGAGTGGAATCACTGAGAGATGCACGTCTTTGATATGACCTGGATCCTTCACCGTTCTTGTCC